GACGTTCTCCCAGCCGCACGGCTCCAACATGAAATGCATGAAACTTTTCACTTTTCCACCACCGAACGCTAAACGTTCAGATATGACAGACTGTCTGCATGGATCCAAATTCGTCTTCAGTACAAATTTTCGCGTTACAGCTTTTTGCTTGTTCTCCTGGAAAGAAAAAAGATTTAGGTAACCGAAAGGTTTCTATTGAAAAGGAAAAAAAAATCGCGATCTAAACCATCCGAATTTTGCAACAGACGGCAAAACTACCTGATGCAGAGGATCACTACTGCCTGCGAAATCTGCTTGCGTACCATCACCGACAGATTGACTGGCGATATCACCGTAGCTCCCAAATCCAGAAAACAGATTGCCAATACCAGCGTTATGTTGTGAATCCTGAACTCTCTGTGGAGAAGAAAATTCAAGAACGAAAATGCACTCACATAAGAGCTGTAGTGGATTCGGATATTAAAAAAATTGCTTTTTCGTCCCAATACTTAACGCCCTAGAAACTATTAAAAGTAACAGCTTTTAACTAGAAATCCTCACAGTTACAGGATTTGCAGTATCACTTTGCTCTGCACCATCATTTTGGGACTGGAACGCAACGGGATCGAACAACAGCTGGACAATTTTATCCGAATTGATCATGCATGCATGCATCAGCGGAGTAATGCCAAATTCATCTGGCTTATTGACGTCCGTCTGCAAATCTGCCTCTTGCAAAAGAAACCTACAAGAGTGATGCATTTGTTATCAAGTAGCAAACAGCTCAACAATTAATGCTCAGACCTTCCTCCTTCCTTCGCCGTTTACAAAATGTGAATTAATTAGTAAAGTTGGACGGATCGTTGCTTCAGCGTATCGTATTTCATCAACGCAATCACGCCCCCACTATGCTGTTACCGAAACTACTGCTTCGCCTGTTAGCGAGTTTGTTTTCCCACTTCGTTCCCTCGTTTTTCCATAAGCAAGTGCTGGACCGTCTGCGTGTTCCCCCAGGCTCCCTTAATGGCCGCTTATTCACACTTATTCCGAATAATTATTACCCGTATAAGCGTGTTCTAGAAGGTACGAGCACAGGGAGGGTAATGCACTGCACTGCCCCCACTAAATACTTGACTGTTAAGCTGTTATAATTTAGTGTATGTTCTAAAGCAAGGCTCCAAAAAGATGAAAACGAAAAAGAATTTGAAAATGAACAATTTACTTGACGAGAGCAATCTGGCTGCACTGTATTGCCCGAATTAATGGAGTCTCCTGGCAAAATTCCGGTACTGGTTGTCTCGGCAAACATGGTGTCATCCCGTAGAATGCTGGACGCTGATACAGCATCAAAGAATTAATGCCAAATTTCGCAGCAAAATGCTTCAACCAAAATTTGATATTTTTACTTGGTCCTGCAAACAATGTTCTTATCAAATCATTGTTATCAAAAAGGACGAGGAAAAACCGATTTAAAAATATGTTACAGCACCAGCTAGACTGATTGTGCTTGAACACCACGCTGGCGGCTGTTGCGTGTGCATATTACTTTAGCATTCCAAGCAGCAGTTATTTCATCGTGGCGCAACTTCTCGACATCAGTGTAGTTAAGTGACCTTCTCGTATCTACTGTGAACGAAGCTACATCAATTGGCAATAAATAGGCTGCCAGAGAAGCCAAAGCCTGTCTTTTCCTACATTCTACCAACGAATACCCTGAACGCATAACAGCCTCCTGGCTCACGGTGAAAAA